CACCAATATATCAATATAATAATCAAAATAAAGTAACACTAATAGAGTAGTAATAGCATAATAAATACCCAAAACAGAAAGACTGGCAGGACAGGCAGGCTTTGCACGGGGCTGTGTGAGACGTCGTGGACTGTCAGTCTGAGTCCCAGCTGCACTGACTGCCTGAGCATGGGGGGTGTGGTGGGGGGGACGACCACAGGGGCCATGGTGATGGTGGGCCCTCCCCGAAAGATCAAAGTCCCACACTTTAGGTCTAGCCAGCCACCTGTAGCGCTGTGGATGTCTTACCACAGTATATTACCCTAATAATATAAATATGGATAAATAAATACTCCTGGGCTGTGCCTTCTATTGCTGAACTGCCATTAATCCCAGATGGCGGAGTACACCGGATTCGCCTCGGCCGAGAGGGCGATCCGCGGGTCTGCTACGTAGGACTCGGTTCAGAAGGTGGGAACAACGTAACACAATGTCAGCCTAGACAACCGTCAGACACGGTGACCCATAACTCCTCAGAGGCTCAGCCGACATTTGGCGTATCAGAGCTTGTGAGTGCCTCAGAGGCTGAGTCGGTCTTTTGCCTTAACTCAGCGTGTGCGTGCCTCAGAGGCAGAGCCGGTCCAATTCCTAAACTATACCATCCAATCAAAAACAATACAACAATTGCATACCTCAGCTGAGTGGACACCAAGTAACTGAGGAAAATATCTGATTACAGATGCAGATTCATGCAGCACTACAGTATGTGGGAGCTCTGATTACAGAGTGTCTCCCCTTGCTACTCTGTAGCTCTTCCTTAAGTATTCCAAACCAAGTGACATAATGTACCAAATATTGTGATTGATTGTTTTAGGGACTGTTTTAATCTTGTACTGTATGTGTGTCCTAGAGAACTGCTGATCTTAACAGGCCCTCCAGTTTGGTGGGTTTAGTCTTACATTCTATATTTCTCTTATGTTAGAACATACTGCTTAAGGTTAAGAGTATTATTTTTTATTTTTTTTTACTTTATTATTATTTATTATTTTTTTTACTTTTTTTTTATTATACTTGTCGTACTGTGACTATTCAAATGAGACCAAACATGGGTGTATGTGTCCCTAATATTAGTCTGGGGTAATACCTCCTGTGTTAGTTTGAGTTAGCGAGTGTAGGATGCATCTGTGTCTTGAGGCACCCAGGCCTTGACGATGGAATTTGGCTGCAGGGTTCTGGCCGCCCAGTAGGGGTGAGGTGTCCCTTTTGATGTAGTGATTGGGTCTTGTCGGTGCCAGTGGACCTTTGCCTTAGGACTAGGGGTGCACCGATCGATCGGCGCACCGATCGATCGGCCTCGATCACGTTAATTTGAAGGGATCAGAAATCGACCATATTCCCATGAGATCCACCGATCTTAGTTATATGCTTTTAACTCTTTGGGATCGAGTATGTCGTCGACGACATCGCGTACTTT